GTTCGAAGACTAAAACTAAGGGGCAAATCTCATTTAAGCCACCTCAGACTATACTTCCAGCACTTGGAGGCTGAGGCAGGTAGATCATGAATTTGAAGCCAGTCCGTGCTATCTATAGAAAGAAAAAAAAAGGAAAAGTGGCCAGAGATCCAGCGAGGGAAGAGCAGTGTACGTGCACACAGCTCAGGTTTGACTCTAAGCACAAAGGGACGCTGTAGGGAAGGTTTTTAAGTTTTAAAAAACCAGTTTACTTCATTTTATGCGTATGAATGTTTTGCCTTCATGGACATGCATAGTCTGGTGCCTGTGATGAGGGATCCCTTGGAATTGCCTTTAGGATTGTTTCCAGCTACCATGTGGGCATTGGAAATCAAACCCAGTCCTCTGTAAGAGCAATGTGTGCTCTAAATGGTTGAGCCAGCTCTCCAACCCCAGCTGTTATAAAGTTTTAATCCAAAGAGTGACATGTCCCTGTTTCTGCTTCTAAAACATCATCATGGCTACTCTATGAACACACACACACACACACACACACACACACACACACACACACGCCAGTAGACACTCTGAAAATCCTATGTACTGCTGAGAGGTTTGGCATTTCCCACTTTACTTTGACAGTACAGCGTCCTTCTTCTCAGTAGAGCACCTGGAGGCCTACGATGCTGATCAGGTGGGACTCTGTGGGGTGCATGTAGGTCCTTTAGCAATGAGCTTAATGTTACAAAGGTTTTGGGCATCCAAATTAAAATCCAAAATGAAATGCATGGTTGTTACTGTTTTTTGTTTATGTGTTTGTTGTTGTGGTTGTTTTTTTAGGGGGTTGTAATAAAAAGAGAAGCAATAATATCTGATATGGAGTGCGTACTGTTTGGCATTGCCTGGCAAATGGTTATTTTAACCATCTTAATTTTCCAGCTAAGTGAAGGGGCACTTTAGACCTGGATCAGCTCCCCGCAGTTCAGTCACACAACAGGTTGGCAGTAACTGAACTCCACATGCTGCCCTCTCCTGCAGATTCGCCAGGGATTCACGAAGAATAATTACGTCTTTCTACCACACAAACTTTACCTTTGTCTCGGAAAAGCCCGAGAGGGCTTTCCGGTGAGTTTACATGAGGTCAGCGCATCCTTCCTGTCTCATTAATTCTCTTAAAAGCAGGTTATAAAAACAGTGGGCGTGGCCGTCCGGGCTCTGGGCTTCTTGTTTCTCTGGAACTCTCTCTCTGGCACACGGGTGGTTCCGTCTCCTCCACCCTGTTCTAACACAGCCGAGGAGCCTTTCAGAAGCCAAACACACTATGTTGTCTTATCTCGAGCTTCCTAAAACTGAGCTAAACAGATCTCCTTTCTTCTAACATGTTCAGCCTCAGGCATTTTGTGACAATGGACCTATGCACACGCCACATTTTCTTTGCTCATCCCTTGGCTGGCAGACACTGGCGTGAATTGTGCTGTTAGGAATATGGAATATAGTATCGGAGCCCTTTCTTTTGCTTGCAGACCCTTAAATAGTCTTTAGGGATATATTTCCGCTATTGAACACCGTAGGACCACATGCAGATTGCTCTTCAATTCACGAACTGGAGGTGGAAGGGGTTACTTTGGGGTGGAACCTTTCTCAGATTTATAGGAAGCTGAGACATTCTAAGTGCAGGCAGCAGGAAGATCTTCTCAGAATGACTATCAACTGTTGCAGTCAGCGAGGCAGTACTGGGGATTCTGGGTTCAATGTCATGGCTGACTTCTTCCACCTCCCTTTAAGTGGCTGTACAAATGGGGACTTACGTGGGTAAAGGATTATTTTTACCCTAATTATTTTCAATTCTTGAGAAATTAATCAGTGTCCCCAGGCAATCCCTCCACTGTTCACAGATGTTGAAAGAGACCATCCAGAACATCTGGGAGACTTCTGAAGGGTGAAGTCCAGGATATTTTCCTAATGATGAATCAAACATGGGCTATGTGGTTCTACCTCAACTTTAGTTTTTAGTCGTAACTGTTTTGTTTTGTCAGAAAGAGGGGGTCTGAAGAAGCACTATAAAGGCTGAACTTTTAAATAATCTTTTTTGAAAAAAATCATTATTTCATCATTTCTCCCCCTCTTTCCAAATCCTCTGTCTCAGTTAGGGTTTTACTGCTGTGAAAAGACACCATGATCAAAGCAACTTTTATAAGGACAGCATTTAATTTTAGCTGGCTTACAGGTTCAGAGGTTCAGTCCATTATCATCAAGGCAGGAGCATGGCAGCATCCAGGCAGGTTTGGCGCAATAGGAGCTAAGAGTTTTTACATCTTCATCTGAAGGCTTCTAGGAGAAGACTGCCTTCCAGACAGCTAGGATGAGAGTCTTAAAGCCCACACCCACAGTGACACACCTACTCCAACAAGGCCATACCTCCTAATAGTGCCACTCCCTGGGCCAAGAATATCCAACCATTACACCTCCCATAGCTCCCATAGCTTTTTCAAATTCATGGTTTTTGATTTCATTAATGGTTGTTACACCTCTCTCTCTCTCTCTCTCTCTCTCTCTCTCTCTCTCTCTCTCTCTC